CTGGGTGACCCACAGAGGGCCCTTCCAACCCCTACTATTCTGTGATTCTGTGATTCTGTATCCAGACCTGTAACGTCTTTTGTCCAGTGAATGCAGATGTCGATGGTTGTTTAAAAAGCTGCCCCCGGGCGCAGTGCTGGCTCTTCCAGCCTTCAGCTGTTGCTCTCGGTACCTAGAGCGGACTTCCTGGGTGTCTCTCCTGGGCCATGGCACGGTGGCTCCTTTCCCAAGCATACTTTTCTGCACGAGGAATTGTGCATAAACTTGATCCTTTGGGGCACAGCCTTGCTGTTCCCAGGATTTATTTCTGTATGAATTTTCAGATCTGGATGTACCATCGTTCTTATTAAGGCCATTTGAGCTGAAATCCAGAGCAAACCATTGCAAACTGCGTTTAACTGCACTTCCTCAGAAAGAGAGAGAGTTGTTTATTTTTTCCATGGTGTGATTTCTGAAGTGCAGTCGCTCACTGTAAAACCAACATAATTCGCTGCTTTCAGTGCTTGCCACGTTCTCCAGCTGTCTGCAGAAGGATAAGCTCCCGTAAGAAACCGCATGTTGTGCTGCTGCTGACTCCACGCAGTGCGGTGTTCGTTGCCCAGCTTAGGTCAGGACACACAAAGCACGTGTAGGCTTGAGAGGCCGGGCCCATGTGAACCTTGTGAAGTTCAGCAAGGCCACGGGCAGGGTCCTGCACATGGGTCAGGGCAATTCCAAGCACAAATACAGACTGGGTGGAGAATGGATCGAGAGCAGCCCTGCCAAGAAGGTCTTGGGTGTGCTGCTGGATGAAAAGCTGGACATGACCTGCCAACGTGCGCTGGCGGCACAGAAGCCTGACCATGTCCTGGGCTGCGTCCCCAGCAGCATGGCCAGCAGGCGAGGGAGGGGATTTTGCCCCTCTGCTCCGCTCTGGTGAGACCCCCTGGGAGTCCTGCGTCCAGCTCTGGAGCCCTCAGCACAGGACAGACCTGGAGCTGTTGGAGCGGGGCCAGAGGAGGCCCCAGCAATGATCTGAGGGCTGGAACCCCTCTGCTGGGAGGAAAGGCTGGGAGAGCTGGGGCTGTTCAGCCTGGGGAAGAGAAGGCTCTGGGGAGACCTTAGAGCCGCCTGCCAGTACTGGAAGGGGGTCTACAAGAAAGCTGGAGAGGGACTTTTTACAAGGGCATGTGGGGGTAGGACAAGGGGTAATAGCTTTAAACTGAAATAGGGGAGACTTAGATTACATATAAAAAAGAAATTCTTCACCATGAAGGTGGTGAGGCCCTGGCCCAGTTGCCCAGAGCAGCTGTGGCTGCCCCGTCCCTGGCAGGGTTCAAGTCCAGGTTGGACGGGGCTCTGAGCACCCTGGGGTGGTGGAAGGGGTCCCTGCCCAGGGCAGGGGGGCTGGGACAAGGTGGTCTATCAGGTCCCTTCCAACCCAAACCACTCTGGGATTGATTTGGTGTGACAGTGCATGGCCACAGTTCTGTTTCCAGAAGCATTCAGACAAACATTGTAATTCCAGTTCGTAAACAGCCTTGGAGAAGAAAGCTGTTGTGACAAGGAGTAAGAGATGGTCTTGATCAAAGGGGTCTTAAGTATTATGGTATTTGCTAGATGACAGAAATTTTGCATAAGCAATCCTGGAAGCTGAAGAACCTCATTTGTCTTGCATTTCTTCGCCCTGTGCCTCTCTTTTTTCCAGATAATAGTAGATGATGACGACAGTAAAGTCTGGTCGCTGTATGACGCGGGACCGAGGAGCATTCGGTGCCCCCTCATATTTCTTCCTCCTGTAAGTGGAACTGCAGATGTGTTTTTCCAGCAAATTCTGGCGCTGACTGGATGGGGCTACAGAGTTATCGCCGTGAGTATTCTCAGTCCTGTGTCAAAGCGAGTGTCCTTGTGCCTGTCGCTCTAATCAGAGGTTGGATAATGAAGATGAACTTTTTAGTGCTGTCTAAGGAGAATCCACAAAAAACCTGATGCTAAGTTGTACTCCAAAGTATGCAGCATGCAGATCCAGGCTGAAATCTGCTGTGTGTTCACAGGAGCGTTTACCCAAAGCCTTGTGCATACACATTGTTAACTCCTCAGTCTGTTTTTTCTCTCATGTGCCCTGGACACCGGTCATCTTTGCCTCCAGCTGGATCTTTGTTAGCCATCAGGGAAGCGTGTGGGTTAGCTCGGGGTTTCCGCGTTTGCCTTGGGGATGGTGGATAAGCTGGTTCTTAGCCTCCTAGCTGCAGATGCAAAGTCATTCCTCCTTGAAATCCTATCAGCCTGCTCTCTGGTGGCTTCTCGGCTCCTCTGAGCTGAACTGAGACGATTGATCTGTACGTCAGTATTTCTGCTAAACAGTATGGCTTTAGGAGTACTGCTGTTTCTCTAGAAGCAGTGAATGGTTTCTGTGCCTGCCAACTTTACATGCCACAAAATCGCTGAAAAATCATTCCAGCCTCTCCTCCCCCTGATCACAGAATGAAGCAGCGCTGCGCTTTCCCCAACAAACTTGCTTTGCGGTACTTTCAGTTGTGTGGTTTTGTGCAAGTGAGGGGTAGGTGTTCGCACCCTCTGGGCGAAGGGACCTTTGCGAGGAGCGTGAGCCTCACGGTGCAGGACAGGCAGGTTGCTGTCTTGGAACCTTTAATGTGAGGATTGGTGTGGCCTTTGAGCGACAGCTGAGAGCTACTGGCCAGAGACGGGCTTTTTCTGACTTCATATGATTTTAGTTGCAGTATCCGGTGTACTGGGATCACCTTGAGTTCTGTGATGGATTCAGAAAACTGTTAGACCACCTTCAGCTGGATAAAGTGAGTGCTCCGAGGTGGGAAAATGGACGTCTGGTTGCAATAAAAACCTAATGTTTGAAAGAGTCTCATTTAAGAGCAAGTGTATAAAATGTGACACAAAAACGCAGCCTATAAATAAAGAGGTTGTGTTGCAATTTTCCTCTTGAAACGAGTTTATTTTTGAAGGTGAATACCCTTGAAAATTGTCGTACTTGGCCTAAATTCAACTGCTGTTGTAGGCCTATTAAATTGTATTGGTGAACTTGGGTTTTTCATGAGATCCCGTGGAAGTTTGCCTTCCAAACTCATGTAGTACAGAATACCGCAATGAAGTCTCTTGGATTGGAATAGCTACTGAAGACCAAGTGACATCTTCAATTTTTTTATCAAGCTTGATGAGCACACAGAAATATGAAATGTGATCTGGAAATACTTCCTTCTTTCAGTATTTATCACATATCATATACAAAACCAGAAGCTGAATAGAATTTTTTTTTTTTTTAAAGGGTTATAAGGACAGGGTAAAACTTGAAAGACTTATTTTTGTAATGAAACATTGTGCTTAGAGGTCATTTATTTCACAGGTGTAACATGATCTGCTTTTTTCCCCTTGAATTAGGTTCACCTTTTTGGAGCTTCTCTGGGAGGCTTTCTGGCTCAGAAGTTTGCTGAATACACACACAAATCTCCCAGAGTTCAGTCTCTGATCCTGTGCAATGCCTTTAGTGACACTTCGATCTTCAATCAGACGTGGACAGCAAACAGGTAAGGAAGACTGAGGCAAGCAGTCAGATTCACGGCAGTCATTTTTCCGCAATGAAATGTCGCGCTGACCTGGCTGGACACGTGTCTGACCTGTTTCCAGCCTGGGCGAGGGCGGTGTGGGGTGGGATACTTGTGGCTTTTAAAGCCACACCACGAGGAAACTGGAAATTTTCACAGTTGGGAGTGTGCAATCTGACAGACGAGTTGTTCTGCGATCCTCTGTGGACCTGTGGTCAGATTTAAGAACTCTGCCGGTGTTCTAGCAAAACCATTTTGAGTGAGGAAAGTGTTACTCACCATGTTTAAAACAATAAATACACGAACAGCTTCCCAGAGCATTTCAAGCACTTAGCTGCCACGTTTTCCATCTCTCTGCTTTTGAAGCTCCTTCAGGATTTCATTTGAAGTTAAAGCACAAAGTCTGTGCAAGGAAAGGAACAACGAAGCACCTCAGTGTTGGAGTCCGGGGTGCTTGAAGATTGTTACTTCTTGTTTCTGTTTTAGCTTTTGGCTGATGCCTGCTTTTATGCTGAAAAAAATTGTCCTGGGGAATTTTGCATCTGGTCCTCTAGACCCTGAAATGGCCGATGGGATCGATTTCATGGTGGACAGGGTAGGTGGCTGCGTACTCCGATGGCTCTGATGTCGGTCGCCGTAGGAGATTGACTTAGCAGGAGGGTGTAGGTGTTCTGCTGCCCTCGCTCGCTCAGCCAGGAGGAAGGAGTGAGGACTGAGGCCTCAGCAGGTGCTGACGGTCACAGCCCCCGCAGCTGAACTGCTGCTGCAACCATCTGCCTGACAGGTCTGTTTGTCTGGG